TATATATATATATATATACAGGTATATATATATTATATATGTATACAGGTATGCCGTGAGGGTCCAGCTAGCGGTATGTTAGTAATATTTGGTGGTAGGGATTCATCTAGTAGAAGTTTAGCTGATGCCTGGGGTTTACGTCAGCATAGAGATGGAAGATGGGATTGGGTAGAGGCACCATGCAAAAAACAACATATTATGCCAGAGGCTAGGTTCCAACATTGTAAGTCAACTATTTAGGGTTTAGGGTTTACTAGGGTTTACTAGGGTTTACTAGGGTTTACTAGGGTTTACTAGGGTTTAGGGTTTAGGGTTTGTTAGGGTTTGTGAGGGGTTTGAGCGTTATTCTATTGTTTACGTTCGTGGGAGGAATGAAGGGATTCTTACACGGAGGGTTTAGGGTTTTTATGCGACAAGGGATTCATGTAGTAGGGTTTATTAGGGTTTATTAGGGTTTAGGGTTTAGGGTTTATTAGGGTTTAGGGTTTGTTGTATTGTTGTGCAGCTGTTGTCTTCTTGGATTCAAAGATGGTTGTCATAGGAGGGAGAACTGATGGTGATTGCTCCAAGTACGTAACCCCCTTGCTGCTGCAGCAGCAGCTGCTGCTGTAATCAGCAGCTGCTGCTGCTGCTGTAATACTGGCAACTGCAGCAGAAGCAGCAGCAGCAGCAGAAGCAGCAGCAGCAGCAGCAGCAGCAATATGTTTGTGTTTATTCTTAGGCCGTTATCTACTGCTGTTTATGACACGGAGACGGTCGAGTGGAGGCTGCTGCCAAGCATGGGGAGAGTGCGTCTGCTGCTGCTGCTGTTGTTGCTGCTGCTGTTGTTGCTACAGCTGCTGCTGCTGCTGTTGTTGTTGCTGCTGCTGTACGGTTTCGTGGATATATTCTGTAATACGTTTTTTTGTGCTGCTGCTGCTGCTGCTGCTGCTGTTGCTTCCGTTACAACTGCTCCTCTTGATGGAATATCCTTGTGTGCTGCTGCTGTTATGCTGCTTTTGCTGCTGCTGTTGCTGCTGCTGCTGCTGCTGCTGCAGTTCCGTCACAGCAGCTGGGCGCTGCGTAATACAATTTTTACTTTTGGCGGTTTTGGCCATTCAACGCAGCAACACCCAACAGCAGAACTTCTATTCATGGATTGCTCTCGTTAGTTGCTGCTGCTGCTGCTGCTGCTGCTGTTGCTGCTGCTGCTACTGTTCCTGCTATTGATGCTGTTGCTGTTGTTGTTGCTGCTTTTGTTCTTGCTGTTCCGTTGCCTGCTGTCTTGTCAGTTTAGTGTTGAGAATGCTCCTGCTGCTGTTGCTGCTTCCTGCTGCTGCAATCGGAGCTGTTTTGGGCCTTGCATGCACATTTGCTGCTGCTGCTGCTGCTGCTGCTGCTGCTGTTTGTCCTTTAGAGATACCTTGCTTCTATAGCGACGTTGAGAGGGAAGAGCAGCGAGCAAAGGCTGCCCGGCAGCGGCAGCAGGCACTAGCCATAACAGCAGCAGCAGCATCACAGCAGCAGCAGCAGCAGCAGCCTCAACCATTACCTGCAGCGCAGCAACAGCAGCAAATGCAGCAGCGCGGCGTTGCAGGACGCACAATGACATCGCAACCTGCTGTTGCAGCAGGAGCAGCAGGCCAGGTTCCTGGTATTGCACAGCAGCAGCAGCAGCAGCAGCAGCAAGCATATCCGCTGCAGGGTTCTCTTACCTTTTCTCGCCAGTCAACTGGTCTTAGCCGACAAGGCAGCCGTGCTGCAGATGTATGTCTACCCATCTGCTGCTGCTGCTGCTGCTGCTGGTGGTGGTTCTCTCTCCCCGCGGGTGCTGCTGCTGTTGCTGCTGCTGCAATAATACAAAGCTGCTGCTGCTGCTGCTGCTGCTGCTACTTGTGTGGTGTCTGCAGATTCGATTGGCTTCGCATGCATCCGTTGTACAGGAGCAAAGAGGAGATTTCTCAGCCCTAGTCAGACGGGTAAGCCCTTGCTGCTGCTGCTGTTGCTGCTGTTGCTGCTGGTTGTATTGTTTGTGTTCCTACTGCCGTGCGTGTTCCTGTGTGCTGCTCTTACTTGTATAATTATTTTGCTGCTGCTGTTGCTGTTGCTGCTGCTGCTGCTGCTGCTGCTGCTGTGTGCAGATATCGATAGATCGTTTAGAAGAGGAGGGACGAAAGATAAACAAGAGTTGCTGCAGCAGCAGCGGCTCGGGTCCCTTATCTCCTGCTGCAGCAAGAGCAGCAGCATTAGCAGATCGTATAATTCGTTTGCTGCTGCGGCCGCTGCTGACGCAGCAAGAGTTGATGGCACTCTTTGAGACAGATGCACCTTTTTGTATTCCTTGGGCAGATGTCAATGAACTCTGCCATGTTGTACGTCCTGCTGCTGCTGCTGCTGCTGCTGCTGTTGTTGTTGTTGTTGTTGTTGCTGCTGCTGCTGTTGTTGTTGTGTTTTCTTGGCGTTATTATGAGATATAAGAGGAAAAAAATTTTATTGATAGGAGTAGGGTTTAGGGTTTAGGGTTTAGGGTTTAGGGTTTGGCGGGTTTGGGTGTAGGTGACGGACATCTTCAAAGAGGAAGAGATGGTTCTAAATCTGCGGGCACCAATAAAGGGTGGGTGTAGTGCTAAACCCTAAACCCTAAACCCTAAACCCTAGGAATTGGTGGCTGGTGTTTCCTACGATTCATTCTCTCCTAATGAGGGTTTACGCGACTTCTCCCACAGTTGCAATTCGGGTTTAGTCCTGCTCTTAGGGTTTAGGGTTTAGGGTTTAGGGTTTTTTTTGTTTTTTTTTTGTTGCAGTGTATGGGGACATTCACGGTCAATATTTAGATTTGATGCGTTTATTCCATTTATATAAAATGCCTGTAGAGGAAGAAGAAGCAGAACAATATGCAGCAGGAAGCAGAGCAGCAAAAGGAACTCTTTGTGGGGATATTGATTGTACAGATTATTTATTCTTAGGGGATTATGTTGATAGAGGAAGTCATTCGCTAGAAACTATCTGTCTACTCTTCGCACTTAAAGTAAATCAAAAACACTTTTCTAGGGTTTAGGGTTTAGGGTTTAGGGTTTAGGGTTTAGGGGTTTCAGGTGGTGGTCATGATTCTTATCATTATTTGCCTGTATATAAATAGATAATAAATAAAAACCCTACTATTCCTTCTTATTCAAATAAAAAATAAAAAATTTCAAAATTTCAAAATTTTAAAATTTTAGGGTTTAGGGTTTAGGGTTTAGGGTTTAGGGTTTAGGGTTTAGGGTTTAGGGTTTAGGGTTTTTTCAATTTTTTTTTTTTTTTAAATAGGTAAAATATCCTCGTCAAGTGCATTTGATTCGTGGTAATCATGAGGATCCAGGTATAAATAGTTTGTATGGATTTCAAGATGAATGCCGTCGTCGTTTACAGGAGGATCCAATAGATCCGAATTCATGTTGGTCTTCTTTTAATAATGCATTTGAATTTCTTCCTGTTGCTGCAATTATTGAGGATTGTGTCTTATGTATTCATGGAGGGATCGGGGGATCGATACATTCTATTGAACAATTACAAGCATTACAGAGACCTCTTAAGGTTGCACAAGTACCACAGACACCACAGGTAATAATTATCTATTTATTATTTATTTATATTTATTTATATATATAGATGACTTAGTTAGTTACCTAGATACAGTAGATACCTTGTTAGCTAATATGTTTATTTTTGTATGTTTTCTTTTATTTGTCATACTGATTAAGTTATGTTGTTATGTGGGGTGACTATGTGGGGTATGGGATCGTTATTGGGATCGTGATTGGGATCGTGATTGGGATCGTGTGGGATAGTGACTGGGATCGTGTGGGATCGTGTGTACGACAATTGCTGTGTGTAATAATGATTGGGATCGTATGGGATAGTCAATAGGATCGTGATCGGGATCGTCATTAGTATCTAAGGGATCGTGTATAAATATATAAATATATATATATATATGTATATATATACAGGAGCAACAAGTTACAGATCTACTATGGTCCGATCCCACCGATTCCGACTCCGTCTTGGGGATCGCACAGAACGAAATTCGCGATCCTGATGGTGCAGGAAAAATATGTAAATTTGGTCCTGATAGAGTTGTACAATTCCTTGCTGCAAATAATTTATCTCTTATTATTAGGTAAACATTTATTTATTATATCTACACTATTATATTATTTATTATATATTTATATCTATATAGACAGCTACCTATCTATCTATCTAGCTAGCTAGCTAGCTAGCTAGATACACAGCTAACAGAGACACAGAGGAGAAACAAATCCGTTATTCCCGCGGAGTCTAGGGTTTAGGGTTTAGGGTTTAGGGTTTAGGGTTTATGGTGATTTGTGCAGGGCTCACGAGTGCGTCATGGATGGTTTTGAGAGATTTGCGGGTGGAAAATTAATAACACTTTTTTCGGGTATGCAAAACCCTAAACCCTAAACCCTAAACCCTAGAATATGATAGAAAAATATATTTTTTCTTATTTTTTTTTCTTTTTTAACAATAAATGCATGCGGAGGGTCTTCGGGTGTATACGCAGCTACCAACTACTGCAACCACCATCAAAACGCCGGCGCTCTTCTTTACATCCGCAGGGATTTAACAATTATACCTAAATTAATTTATCCAGCTAATGCTATGTCGCAGTATATTACATGGTGGGGCTGCATGCATGCATGCATGCATACATACATACATACATACTTAGGCCAATTAATTCATTAAACATATACACCCCATCGGTGCCTGCTGTTGTGTCTGCTTGGTGCTGCTGCATGCATGCACAGAAGTTTTTGTTGCTGTTATCTACCATTCCTCTACTGAATTAGGGTTTAGGGTTTAGGGTTTAGGGTTTTCTTTTTTTGCTGCAGGGATGAGAGGATGACAGAGCTGCGGCCTCCTACACCTCCGCGGGCCCCACCGCGCATGCGGGAGCAGCAGGACTTTGATGGTAGTTGAGGTGTACGTACACCTCAAGGTGTATAGGCACCTTATAGGATTTTTACGCCCGTTATTTATGCATGCATGCATGCATGCAAGAATAGGTATAAATACATGCATGCATGCATGCACGCGTTTATGGCTTTTTTGTATGCATGCATGCATGCATGTATTAATATACCTGCATGCATGCATTTATGTCTTTTTTGTATGCATGCATGCATGCGTTTATGTCTGCATGCATGCATACCGACATACGGGTGATTGGTTGTTCGTCATCTGTGGGGCTGCATGTATGCATGCATGCAATTTGCATGCATGCAATTTGCAAGCATTTATTTATGTCTGCATCGATGCAGACTGCATGCATGCATGCATGCATGCATGCATGCATACACCATGAGGTGTTGAGTACAAACAAGGTCGCGGGACTTTCTTGTCAGTAGCTTTAAACTGTCTTTTGTTTTGGTGTTTTGTTCTCCTAGGGTTTAGGGTTTAGGGTTTAGGGTTTAGTGTAGGGTCTACTGATGAATACTCAGGAGATATATTTATATAAATATACAAACATATATAACATTAAGAGAGACAAACAAAGACATAAAAAGCAACAAATAAATAAATGGAGACACCATCATACCCTCTAAATACTTGTAGATTTACCTGCCTATACACCCGAAGGCAGCGCTATGTAGATATATATATACTATATATATTATAGATATTATACACTATATATATTATGCATAGTATATACTATTTATATATTATATATTATATACTATATATATTATGTGTATACAGGAGTTAGAAGAAACAAAATATATCTATGGCGTTTGTTGTACGCATGCATGCAATTGCATGCATGCATGCGTGCATGCATTGTTATATATGCGTCTGTGGCTGCATGCATGCATTTTGCATGCATGCATGCATGCGGCATTTGAGCCCCGTCTTAAGGCGGAGGAGATTGCGGCTTGCTACTTTACTGCAGCACGAGGAAGGCAGGGCTGTATATTATATAATGCATTTTATACTGCATGCAGCAACTGCATGCAACAGCCCCAAAGGCATGCATGCATGCATGCATGCAGATGCATGCAGATGCATGCATACACGAATCAATACATACAAACATACATAAATTTATATACACGCACGCACCAATACATGCATAACACGAATACTTTCATCCAAGCATGCATGCATGCATGCATGCATGCTTGCATGCTGCACACGCATGCACATGCATGCATGCAGATGCATGCATAATAATACATGAATTAGAAACAATATGCTTTGGACAATATTTCTCTACAATTAGCACCAATAAAAGACAGTATATTATATTTATATATAATAATAATTATTTATGCATTAATGCATGCAGATGGATGCATGCATATGCATGCATACGCATGCATGCATGCGTAATATACATAAGTCATGTCCCCTAGATAATATTTCTTCATTAGTAGCACCAATAAAGACAGTATATTATATTTATATATAATTATTATTATCCATGCATGCATATGCATGCATACGTATGCATGCATGCATAAATAATTAGAAGTCATCCCCTCTAGATAATATTTCTTTATTAGTAGCACCAATAAATACAGTATGCTCTGTTTGTGAGGTAAAAGAAGAAAAAACATCAGAAAGGGGAGGATAAGGAGTAATTAATTGGCTTTTTACTAACGAATTTAATGCCAATAAATGAGAAGAAAGCCCCAAATTATTCAACCAACGACGGCAGAATGCTAAAGTACCGAAATTCTGCATGCATATACATACACACACTTATTTGTTATCTATTTATTTATTTATTTATTTATTTATTTATTATATACATATGTATGGATGTATGCATGCATGCATGGGTAGATGGGCTATTTGTATCTTGGGTGGATATGTCTGTATGTATATACAAATACATATACATATACATATACATATACATATACATATACATATACATACATATATATATATAATATAT